CACCGTCAAATGTCAAATTTTTAAATTTTATAAACACAATTATAAAGGTTACATATCGAAATGTATTTCTTGAAAATTGACAGTTTTTCACAGTAAAAGTAAAGAAAATGTTTTATGAGCACTTTACAGTGGAGTCCGTGCCCAAATTTAAGTTATAGTTTACTGCCGGCGAAATTAAAAGGTCAGTACAATGTTCATATAAACTTTTCAAATATTGGCGTTGATAAACTATTTAATACTTTTGTATTTTTGTATTAAGATAATAAAATAATTTTCACATTTAGTATTATTTTAACAATTGTATGACATTTGATAACTGTCAACTAACTTAAAACTAACTTCAGCCCGTGACTAAACCGACATAAAGCCACAACTTTTCAATGTGTATTTAAAAGGTCACTTAGAGTCATGGAAACATGTACGATAAAGGGCGTTTTAAAGGTGGGAGTAGAAAAAAGCATTTTTTTACAGTGAATGTGGAGATAATGTTTTATGGGTAATTTTTAATGCTTTCGAGAGATTCGAATTAAAAAAAAAGTAAACTTCCCTATTAAAAATCCAAAGTTACCCCCTGCCTCTTAAAATATGGAAAGGGGGTAGGTGTCAAAAATATGTTTAAATAAACTGCGCACCACTCAATGTGTCGCGATCAAAAAGTTCGTCCTTTTTCAAAACGGCATAACTTTTTTGTTTCTAAAACGATTTTGTTTTGGTTTGTGATGTCAGCTAACCACATCCTCTGGCAATTCATGCTATAGATATTAAGCCCACGGTTCTTCAAGTAAATTTCCTACAGGGTGATATGTAAAACTGTGAAAAATTTCAATAACTTCATCCAAGCCCCGTTTGAAACAAGAAATATTTTTTCTTGTTTTTACTTTGAAATAATGAAGAAGTATGTCTTACCTTGAAAAGGTTTTCAAATTTTTCGAAAATCTGATTTTTTTTTTACAAGAGTACATTTAAGGCTTTTTGGTAGGCAATATACTCAGTCTTTTTAAGAACAAGAAAATAAGATGGTGAAAGATTGTTCCTTGAATAATTCTGAACAAGCGACAAGCAACAAACTTCCATTATTTTCAAAGGGGCCTAAGTAAAGACCACTTTTTCAAAATGACATTTTGGTAAAAATTTGCGAAAACTAAACCTGAACCCGATATTTACGTTCGTGACATGTTTTCTTTATAATTTTGACCTCCTGATTATGATTCAGTTGTCAAATGTAAGTTTCAGATAAAACCAAAATCACCAAGAATCAAAGTTCTAAAACAATTCCCGGCTGTTAAATGTCTAAATAAAATCCGAAAAAAAATCATATCGTCGTTGCTAAGATTCCAATTCAAAAAACTTGAAAAACGTTTTAAGGTAACACATAATACTTCATTATTTCAAAATAAAAACGAGAAAAAAATTATTTTTTTACAAACGGGGCTTGGATGAAGTTATTGAAATTTTTCATTGTTTAACATATCACCCTGTAGAAAATTTACTTGACGAACCGTGAGCTTCATATCTATAGCATGAATTGCCAGAGGATGAGGCTAGCAGACATCACAGACCAAAATAAAATCGTTCAAGGAACAAAAAAGTTATGTCGTTTTGAAAAAGAACGAACTTTTTGGTCGCGACACATTGAGTGGTGCGCAGTTTAGTTTACCAAAATTTGTTTAAACTGTTTTCATAATATCCCCTTGCAACACTCCGTATATCTATAAAAATATGAATTTGTTATAATATATATATTATATATATACCTATAGATAAATACAATTTTTAATTTGAAAAAAAAAGATTAACAAAAAAAGGTCAACCTAAAAAACTAAAACTTTAGAGTATACAGTATGTGCACACTTGTACATCTTTTTATGTTATGTCGGTTAGGTTGGAAAAATTTTGCGTGATTACAAGCCTATTAAAAAACAAAAGATGGCGGTGGTAACTCAAAATCTGTCAGGCAGTTTTTTTCAAATTATTTGAAAATCCCTGATTTATTTTTCAATTTTAATAGAATTGTAATTACATAACTTTTCTCAAATTTAACCGACCTTGTAACCAGGGGGTGACGAATCAGGGTGGTTAACTAGATTAAAATTTAAAAATTAATGTTTTTTTCGAAAAACTTTAAATATATTTTTTGTATTTTATTCTGAAAGGGAAGTTTATAAACAAAAAAAAACTCTCGTTCAGTCAGCACTATTTTTTTATTGGGTAAAAAAATTTTAACTTGAAATTTTAAACCTTTTTTAGTGCGGTAAAACAATATCAAAATTTAAATCAAATCAAAAAGAGCTTGTATTAGCTTTAATCTTATGAAGACCAGGCAGCAAAAGCACTCTGACTACATATATACCCTGTATAGCCATAGCTTAAATACTAACTTCATAAATCGACTAATTGGCCTAGGGTGAGATACCCCGTTTAGAGATTTACAAGGTTTTATTTGTTTTCTATACACTTGGTTATTAAACACTCGCTCGCAAGATTCGCTCGTATCAAACTTGCTACAGTTCAAAACTAGAATAATTAAAAAAAATACATAGTGTTTTCAATGATTTTTGCACACACATTATGTGGGAACCTAATTAAGGAACAATTAATTGAGTTGAAATAGTTAATTCTGGAAAATCAAAGTTAACTGAAAGGAACCAATTGTAATTAAAATGTAATACCCGGATAATTGAAATTAAATGAATTGAGAAAACCATTACCGCGAATTCCGCATATTATTGTGTTACATAACGATTTATATCGTAATAAATGGTCGGGAAAAAAATACGAAAACATTCCACAGCATCACCTAAACAACCTTGGACACCGTTTATAATGTTTATTATAATAAATGGATCCAATAGAGTCAGGGCCGGATTTACCTCTAAGAAAAATAAACAATTGCCCAGGGCCCTTTATTCTCACAGGCATGACAACTTTGTAGTTGTATGCATTTAAAATTTTTTTGTTAATAAATATTATTGGCACAGCTAGGTTAGTTTAGGTTAAATTATTCTCGAATTAAGGCCCCCTCTGATTTTGCTTAGGGCCTCTAAAAATGTAAATCCGGCCCTGAATTGAACAAACCGGTATCGTACATGTATACATATGTATAGATAGAACTTCGACGAATTAATAAGTATGAAAATGTTGTTTTTATGAAGGCACCATTGTTTATAAACATCCATATTTAGTATTTATTTTGTTTATATAAATATTAACTATTAAATTAATATAAACGAATAAATTATAGTATTAAAATGCATAGGTACTTAAAAAATTAATTTTATGTTTTTTATACAATGCGGTCTACAAGTGGGGGGGTCTAATAAGTCTAATAAAATATTACGTTAAAATCCCGAAGCTTGACTAAAATATGTTTGTATATTTTGGTCCTTAAGGCCCTAGGCTTCAATAAAACCCTAGATTTTACTAAATAAATAAAATACACAAAAATTTGTATTGATAATTATTGCTTATAAATATTTTTTTTAAATTTATAATTTAAGTTCACTGAACTATAATAATATTAACTAAAAAATAATTTAAATTAAATATTTGTATAAAGCGACATCTATACGAAAATAAAGTACCATATAACATATACCCAATAAACATTTTTGACTTAACTTTCACCATTAACATTGCCCGTTATTAACTTAACAATTATTGATACTTTAAAATATTAAAATAACTTCAAAATATGATTATGTTAAGAAAATATTTTATCCTTTAATTTTTTTTATTACTATAATTTCAAAATATTATCACAAAGTATTAAAAATTCTTACACAGAAAATGTTAAAACTACAAAAACTTGGGAATTTACCGGCGTTAAAATATCAAATTTTTCTGTGTACATAGAAATTTGTCCCTTGAAAATAGACTAACAATCGATATAGAAGCAGTTTTATGGGCACTGTAAGCAAAATTGTTAACTCTTTATCAGTTAAATCCAGTTAACTGCACAACTACGTCAAAATCAGAAGGTCAGTACAAACGTTCATATAATCTTTTCAAATATTATCGTCAAGAAACTATTTAATACTTTTGTATTTTTGTATTGAGATAATAATAGTATATTATGTATCAAGTTTGATAAACGCAATTTTATACACGAATTTAATTTAGGCACGAGCGAGCTTGCGAGCGAGTGCTTAAATTAATGAGTGTATAGAAAAGTTTATAAACTAGGTGCATACTATACTTTTTCTACGACAAATACTTATTATTATCTTAAAATGATTCAAATCAAAAAATTGTATAGAGCGCCATCTATGAAACAATAGGGGAATCTGTGTGTCACCGTCAAATTTCAAATTTTTAATTTTATAAACACAATTATAAAGGTTATAAATCGAAATGTATTTCTTGAAAATTGACAGTTTTTCACAGTGAAAGTAAAGAAAATGGTTTATGAGCACTTTACAGTGGAGTCCGTGCCCGAATTTAAGTTATAGTTTACTGCCGGCGAAATTTAAAGGTCAGTAAAATGTTCATATAAACTTTTCAAATATTGGCGTTGAGAAACTATTTAATACTTTTGTATTTTTGTATTGAGATAATAAAATAATTTTCACATTTAGTATTATTTTACAAGAAGAGCACTTTATTTTAACGATTGTATGACATTTGATAACTGTCAAGTAACTTAAAACTAACTCGTGAAAGCCAAAACTTGTCAATGTGTATTTAAAAGATCACTTAGTGCCATGAAAACATGTACGTTTTAAAGGTGGGAGGAGAAAAATATAATTAAAACAATTTTAAACTTTTAATTTTGCTGGCGTCTTTTTGTATATGCAAAGCAGAATTTATAATTTAAAGGCGTATTAGCTTTAACGGTAAAAGTAAGGTATCTCACCCACTATAGTTTCTTTATATATTGTGCTAGATGTTAAAGCAAATCTTAAATGAGACCAAACCTATTCCTGGTATCACGTTAAGTTTAAAGAATGTTAAATGAATCACAACTTACGTCAAAATACATTAAAATCATTTAAAAACCTTACCTGTTTCTAAAATCACTAAATTGTTAATATTCTGAAACAAAAAAATGGAATTAGATTTTTTAAAGATTTGATGTAAAGTTTCGTATCACTCCGTATATTTATGTAAAGTAAAATCGTAAATATAAATGGACAGTTTAAAGAATCACAATTACAACACAAGTAATGTTTAAGCGTGCCTTATGTTAAGCACATGTCAGCGTTAGTTGTAAATTATGAAACTATTTAAAAAAGTAAAAGCTGCACTTGTTGCTCATTATTACAATAATACAACGTGTGGGCATTTAAAAATAGTTAAGTGTTTGTATTATGCACCGTTTGGTGAGATTATTGCCCATTAAAATAATTGGGAAAATAATGGAATAAATTTCTGTAAATCAGTGTTTAAAACGCCTATTAAATGGAAGGAATATTAAAATTATGAATTAAATTTTATTTTATAACGCCAAATCGACCACTTTTGAATTTACTGACTTTTTTATCTTTTTCTACTCGATTAAAATTTTTGAGATTTTTGGGAAAAACCATACATTTTTGAAAATGTTTTTTTATTTCGTTTTTTTTTATAATAATTCTGCTAATTCTGCTGCTAAATCCAGATTGGGTCGAGTTTTCTTTCTATTTTTTTTAATTATAAAATTATTTATATCAAAAACACAAAAATTGTATAGAACTTGACATGAAAAATTTTCTAATAAAAGTACATTCAAAATTAAAAAGTTTCAAAAAAACGTCCCATTTAGTCAATTTTTTTCTGGTGGGGTAAAAAAATTAAAAAAATTCTGAGAAACTTTTAAAATAATATAACAAAATTTTAGCTAAATCTAAAGAAGATGGGTTCAAAAGTGGTCGATTTGGCGTGGAACGACCTATATGTATTTTTACAATAATTTTTAAATAAATGCATACACTTTTTAGACATTTATTAGAAATTAAATTAAAAAACAAATTATACACATTCATAAAGTTTTTTCCTTCAAAAATTAAACAAAATAAAATCGTTTTTAGCCAAAATTGGGAATTCGATTTGCGTATGGAAATTCATTTTCTTGATCACTTCCTTGGCAACAATAAACTTGTGGTCCATTAGAAGTTTCTGGGGCACGAAAAAAGATATTGATTTGAAATTTTAAAGAGTTTATATATAAATTGATTGTGGTCCATTAGAAGTTTCTGGGGCACGAACAAAGATATTGATTTGAAATTTTAAAGCGTTTATTATAATCCAATTAAGTCTATTTTTCCAAAATATTTTAAACAAAATGCCACTTCCGGATTACTGTTACCTACTAGGTTTGTGGATATGCATATGCCATGGCGGTGAAATTTTTGGAATTTAAAAACATTATTTAAAAGATTCAAAGTCAATTCTTTAACATTTTTCAAATTACCTGAGAAAACCCAGGACAAATTAGGCTAACTTGAAAGGTTAATAACTTTTCTATTTTAAATAAAAACCCAGTATGTTTTTACATAAAAAACCTTTCGATTAATGTTACTATTCCCTATACCTAAAGTTTATAATTTTTGAGATATTTAACAATTACTAAAATTTTAAATATTATTTTGTATCAAGAAACCTGTGGCGGGTGAGTTGACGGTATCTATGGTAACCACGTAATCTGTCAATTTTTCAGGTTGTTCTAAACAATTTGTTGACTATTTAAGTGCATTTTAAACAATATTATAGATAAAAAATAGCAGTCAGAGACTTATTAAAACATTGACAAGCCAGACATTTTAAAAATTTAAAAGTTATACAAACAGTATATGCTAATTTTGAAAAAAAAACTCTGCAAAGCTGTCAACTAGATAAAGCACTAGCTCATTGGAGACAATAAAATATAAAATTTATTTTTTCTACTCCCACCTTTAAAACGCCCTTTTTTATCGTACATGTTTCCATGACCTTTTAAATACACATTGACAAGTTGTGGCTTTATGGCGCTTTAGTCACTGGCTGAAGTTAGCAACAGGTTTTTAGTTTATAATACAAAAATACAAAAATATTAAAAGTTTCTCAACGCCAATATTTGAAAAGTTTATATGAACATTGTACTGACCTTTTAATTTCGCCGGCAGTAAACTATAACTTAAATTCGGGCACGGACTCTACTGTAAAGTCCTCATAAAACATTTCCTTTACTTTCACTGTGAAAAACTGTCAATTTTCAATATACATTTTGATTTATAACCTTTATAATTGTGTTTATAAAATGTAAAAATGTGACAGTTTCCCCTGTTGTTTCATAGATGGCGCTCTATACAAATTTTTTATTTAAATCATTTTAAAATAATATTATAATAATAAGTATTTGTCGTAGAAAAAGTATAGTATGCACCTCGTTTATAAACTTTTCTATCCACTCATTAATTTAAGAACTCGCTCGCAAGCTCGCTCGTGCCTAAATTAAATTCGTGTATAAAATGGCGTTTATCAAACTTGATACATAATTTACTATTATGATATATTTTAATAACAAAAAGAATTCGTAATAATCTAATAAACCAACAATATTTTAATTAACAATTTTTATTACTAAATGTTACTAAAGTCCTCAGCAATTTTTAAATAAAAAAAATGTTAAACATCAACTAGGTCATACATTTAAAGAATATTTATTAATGAATTGTACCATGGCCAAACATGATTGAAAAACAAACCAATCTTTAATTGTTTTCCTATAGACAACAGACAGCAATGTATTAATTTGGCTAACCTTCAAAGGATGGTTAAATTTGGTAACGAAAGTACACACATGTATAATTATAATTAACGTTGTGCGACATAAATACCAGTTAATAATCTAAAATTTATACTGGCGACAGTTTACTACAACTTTCTTTCATTTTTGGTGAAAATACGTCTAAACGAATACGTGAATAAAAAGCATAATGTTAGGTCGCGACGTTGAAATAGTTACTTTCCTTTTTATTAGTGTGAGTGTGAGAACACAAAGTTGCAAAAAAATTAAAAGTTTTGAATTATGTATCATTAAGTGCATATTGGTATTAAATTAAATTTATAAATTATAGCCACGAATCAAATACTTTATATTTTATAATAAAATGTAACTATCAACTAACTTAAATCAAATTTTAGCCCGTGACTAAAAAGCCCGAAAGACACTGCCGCTAACTTCAGCCCGTACAATTATGTACGAGGTGTGTTCAGAAAATAACGGGAATTGTCAAATTTCGCGGGTTCGGAGGGTCCGGTTGTCATAAAATTTTCTTAATTATGTTGGTATACATGCCCCTGAAGTATGATAAAAACTTTAGCTGTTTTCATTGTTTACTTTGTCTGTGGCAGCCGCTAAGGTTAGACGTGTTTTATCAGCTCGGCGATTTTTCGTTTGTTAAAAGAAATTAATCAAAGAATTTGTATCCAATTTTGCTTAAAAAATGAAATAAATTCTGTGAAATGTTAACCAAGGCCTATAGTGAGCCTGCTATAAGTAAAACAAGAGTTTACTAGTGGTATAAGAGTTTTCAAGATGGCCGTGAAGACGTTGAAGATGACGAACGCCCCGAACGCACAAGCACATTAACAACCGATAAAAAGATGGAAAAAGTGGAAGAAATGGTTATAAACCATCAGAGAAGTCGCTGATGATGTTGGTATATCGATTGGCTCATCCCATGAAATGTTTTCGAATGTTTTGGGTATGAAACGCGTGGCAGCAAAATTTGTTCTAAAATTGTTAAATTTTGAACAAAATTTTTGGCCAAAAACAATACTGTAATGATGCCCCAGCCTCCATATTCGCCAGACATGCCTCTGTCTGACTTTTTCCCATTCGCAAAAATAAAGAGAACCTTAAAGGGCCGTCGTTTTGCAAGCATAGATGACTTTAAAAGCGCATCGCTGAAAGAACTAAAGGCTATCCCAAAGATCGAGTTTTAGAAGTGTTTTGAGTATTGGAAGAAGAGCTGACACATGTGCGACAAGGCGACAACATTAATGTAGACGAATAAATAAATATTTGTTAAAAAAATGAAAATTCCCGATATTTTCTGAACACACCTCGTATATGGAAAGCAGAGAAATTATTCATTTGGTTGGTTAAAAAACCTTGTGGTTACAAGAAATTCTCTTTAAATTTTATGTTTTTATTACCAACATTACATATGTAGGCATTTTAAGAAAGTCATAATTTATACAAGGTGAAAAAATACATACAGGGTGTCTATTTGAAAACAAGCAAGCTCTATAAGTCTTGACCCAAAAGAGATATCAAAAATTTCTCAAAACCGTTTCTAGGATATATGGGACACAGTCATTTTATTGACTTAACTCTTAGATCACGATTTAAATAAAAAATATAGACTTAAGTCATAAAAACGACTTACTAAAGGAATTAAGTCATATGATGACTTAAATCACTTTATATTGATTTAAGAATTTGCGAAAATGACTTGACTTGAAAGAAAATGATTTAATTCAAAGACTTAATACTTAAATCATTTGAACTTTATCTTAGAATTGACTTAAGATTTAAATCATTTTGATTTTAGAATTGACTTAAGAGATTTAAGTCTTTTTAAAACTGACTTGTTGCAGCTCTGATTGTGTACTTAATAAAAATAAAGTTAATAAATCCATGTATCCTATTTGGGGATCTTGAGTTGATCACAAATAATTGAGGGTATATATCTGTCAGTTGGACGGTAGTTCCGTCTTATTTTCTAAAAACAATACATTATAAGTATTTTTTACGTAGTCAAGGTGGGACTTCTTGAAGTGGAGTATACTTAGAGTCAGTTGCCACCCCTATTACTTTAGTAATAGATCTCTTACTTTTATCGAAAATATATTACCCTATTACGAAACGATGTAAATCTATTACTTTTTTCTTTTCTAATAGGAATTTTTTCTTTGTTGTCCTTTTGTTGCCACTGGCAACAAAGGATTATTGTCGCAGCGCATCAAAACTATTGTAGAATTAAATTTTTCTTGGTTTTTCTAATATAAATGTTTTAAATCTTGTTATATATTTTAAATTTATTATTTAAAAAAAAATTAAAAATAAA